AACTTAGAGAAAGCAGCTCCATTTCAAGGATCTAGTGTTAGAAAATGAGCGGAGAGCGCACTGGCACAACACAACACAACACACCTCAGAAAGAAGCTGGGGCTGAGAGAATGTGACATGAAATCCTTGCAACAATAAAGATAACGCAATGGCAAGGCTGTTAACAAGCTGAGAATTGGGTTTAATTTGTATGCAGTGGAAGAGAGACTGGGCAAAATATGGAAAAAGATAAAAAGACATAAGAAATATATTTCAGTCTCTTGATATGTAAAAGCACGATTTGATAGTTTTTATTTTTCTATAAAGCAATTCACCCTTAAATATTTTAAAATTATGACATGCCATTATTTAACTCATTGTTACCCTAATCTTATTGATTTCAATTCAAATAATTAAATGATACAAATCATAAATAAGTATATACAAGTCAAATATATTATATATAGCATATATAACACACTACATAATATATAAAATTATCTATAATGTCTGCAATTTTTTCTCTGACACATGATATCATAGCTCATTGGCTTGTTAGTCACTGGTTTCTTATTTTCATATATCTGAATAAAATTCACCATTAAAATCAGTAAAATTTCTATCATGTTTAGATCTAATGTACTGTACTGTTTCTGCTGATAGCCTGGGGAACCATTCACCTGATAAATTGCATCTTTGGAAGGGAATTTTGAGTCATCTTCCTTTCCTGACTCAGTGATGCTATTTTATTATTATTTCTTTTATTAAATTTAATAGGGAGGTGACAGGAAAGAGCATAAAAGAGTGCATGTGACATGAAAGCGTGAGGGAGGACTGTCTGATGGGAGGAGGAGGCCCATCAAGGAGGAGGTGGGGAGATGAGAGCGGACAGTGGGACAGGAAGATGAAGAAGAACAAAGGACAGTGACATGTATTTGCAGAAATGCCATAATGAAACCTACTGCTTTGTATGCTGGCTTTGAAGATTAATCAAAAGAATTGTACAGGTCAAAATAATCTGTTAAATTATTTGATTTATTTTCAAAGTTCTTTATTGTGTGAGGGATTGATCATATTCCCATTGAATTCAGGGATTCTGGAATCACCAATTATAACAATAGTGCCCATTAACCCCGAGCTTATGTTTCTAAATCTTTGTGTAATTCTATTCTTCCTTTCTTCTGTCTCCTTGCATTTGATGTCCAAAGGATTTTATAAGATTTCTCACGAAATACAGAAAGAAACCCAGATGTTACAAAAATATTTGGACTCACAGGACAGACCAAATCTGTTTGTCTGTCTGCCTTGTTTTGTTTTCTGTCCTGGAATCTGTTATCTGCTTTATCCACTGTTGTGCTTCCAACTTTGTGGTTTAGGAAGCTAGGGCTTTGCCTTAATACTTTTAACAAATTTCTTACAACTAGGTATGTTTATTATTTCTAGGTCTTAGCTCTTCTGAATACAATCAACACAAAATGGGTAAAATTAATTTTTAAAGAAGGATGAGAAAGTTTAAAATGAAAGTGCGTTTTCATAAGTCACACTTCCAAAAATAGCTGTTAGGGATGGGTGTCTTGTCTATTCACAGGGCTGGGCATAGTGTCTACTCATTCATCAGCGACTCTGTGCTGGCCTTCAATGGCTGCAATCTTCAGATGAGCAAAACACTCTCCATATTGCGTATAAGTGAGTAAAGACTGTTTATTCAGAACACGGCCATTTTTGAAAGCATGTCTCTGAGAGGTGGGGGAGACTTGAGGAAAGACATGCTCACTTTGTTTCACAGTGGAAAAGTCCAAATAATCCAAATTTCCTGGAATGCTTTAGCACTGAGGTGAAATGCCCTAAGTAAATCATGCTTTGCGGAAGTATGAGAGACCTAAATTACAGTTTACAGTGAAAGAAAACAATATAATTTAACGAAGACAGATAACAAAGCACCTTAAGTCTGTAAATAGTACATTCTAAAGTAAGTGTGGGCTGGTGAGAGGATTCAGTGGGTAAGGTCACGTGCTGCTAAGCCTGACTACCTGAGCTCAGTTCCTGAAGTTTGCATGGTGGAAGGAGAAAGACTACTTCCACAAGGGGTCCTCTGACCTCCATAGTCACGCCAGGACATATGCCACATGTACACAATATATAGACAGACAGACAGACAGTCAGACAGACCAACAGACAGACAGATAGATGGATAGGCAGGCAGCAGGCAGACAGACAGACATGCAATAGATAGATGGTGCAAAAGATGGTAAAACTTTATAAGGTAAGCATAACTGAATCTCTTGTTTTCAAGTTACTTCTCTTACTGGTGACATGAAGGAAAAAAGAACTCCTTTAGAATTAAAAAAAAAAATATTTATATGATGCACAAGCATTTTTTATGCATCTGCCTGTAGGAAAAAAAACCCTACATTTACCAAATAAAACAGCACATCATAGGACAGGACAAACACATGGGACACAAGAAGGAAGGTGAAGCTTAAATGGTATCCATAACATCAGGCATTGGTGGCACACACTTTATTCCAGCACTCCGGAGACAGAGGTCGGTGTATCTCTGAGTCTGAGACCTGCCTGGTCTACAGAGTGAATTCTAGATCAGCCAGGACTACACAGAGAAGCCCAGTATTTAAAAATTGAAGAGAGGGGACAGAAGGGAAAGATAGCAGATCAAGATAGCAATACTAATACTTCTCAAAGACAACTAAAGCAATAGGAATAATCCATCCACCCTGTGAGAGCTGGTGAGAAGATTTAATGGGTCAGAGCACTGAAAACCTCAGTTCAAATCCCCAGTTCCCATGTAAATGCTGGGCATGGTTGCCCACTTCTGTAAACCCAAGTGTAGAATACAGAGACAAGTGGATCCCAGACACTCACTGGCCAGGTAGCCTAACTGAAAGAGTAAGCTTCTAGTTCAGTTAGTTCAGTGAAAGACCCTGTCTCAAATAACAAACAAACAGATAAATAAATAAATAAATAAATAAATAAATAAATAAAGTGAAGAGCATTAGAGAAAGATGCAGGATGTTCTCCCCTGGTCTCCACATGCATGAACATAACCATTCACACCTATACATACCTGTATCATACACACACACTACACACACACCTGCATACACACACACACACTTTACAATACACACATATAAACACACCAATATGTTAAGATAATATAAGACCAATATGATGCTACAAACAAAGATGTACACAATGCTCTACCTGGAGTCAAAGAAAGGACAAGAACATCTTACTCAGAGAAGCAGATATCTGGTTATGTGGAAAATGGCATCTGGCACAAAAATGAGATTACAAGCACCCAAAAAGAGATAGGAGACACTTTCATTGCATTAGGCTCTCTGTAGTACCTATCTCACAGGGTAAGGTAGACCAGAAAGCTTTCCCTTTTCCTAACTTAAACTCTCCTGGAAACAACGATACACAACATACTGTGTGTCACCTCCAACGCTGACCACACCCTTAGTATTTTATGGTTTTTCTAGCATAAAGATCAAATTTCTTTCCAATGTCAGAAAGACACCAAAGGTGTGGCCCATCCACAGGCCACAGTTTTCATTCTTCCCATGTATTCTTTTGCTTCAATCTTGGGAGTGTAGACAAAATGCAGGAATAACCTTAATAGAGGGGGAAAAGGGTGTCTGGTGGTGGAGAGGAAGAGGAAAAGAAGGAAGTGTGAACAGATTGTTTCTCAAGCCTTGATAAATATCAAAATCATCTGAGCTTCTGCTTTAACATGGAACTGGCCCTGAACACCCGATTTGGCTAACTCTGGTTCAATAAATTTAAGAAGTGTTAGAATCTGTTTTGAAGACGTTATTTAAGTTTTTCTGTGTCTAATTTGAGTAGTTTGAGGTTTAGACTTCATTATTATGCAGACCATTCACGTATCTACACATAGATCATTCACACACACACACACACACACACACACTGGATCTCAGCATAAATGGGTAGGGATCAAAAACCAGCTGTGGACACATCTCTTAACACAGCACCACGTTTGTTTCTCAGAACTTGAACTAAAAGAGAACTCCAGATCCTTTTCAGTTCCAAAAAATTTAACTCCAACCCAGTGGTGGAGCACGCCTTTAATCCCAGCACTCGGGAGGCAGAGGCAGGTGGATCTCTGTGAGTTCAAGGCCAGCCTGGTCTACAAGAGCTAGTTCCAGGACAGGCTCCAAAACCACAGAGAAACCCTGTCTCGAAAAAACAAAAAAAAAAAAAAAACAAAAAAAAAAAACAAAAAAAAAAACAAACTCCAACCCTTAGTTAAGCTACAAATTAAAAAAAAAAAAACTAAACCATTGGGGGGGTGGGCGGGAAGAGGTCCCATCTGTCCTTACCAAAATATGGTGGCCAAGTTAGATTCTAAATTAGTTCCTTATAGATAGGTTGGTTTACTTGTTTGCTCATTTTCTGATTCCCTTTTATTCACAATTCTTCTTACACTTGTAGACATGACCTATTTTTAAAGTTGTCATAAGTAATACAAAAGTCAGATTGTGTTTTACGTAAAACAAACCAAACAGCAATGGTGACTACACCAAACCTATAAAGGCATGTGATTGGCTCAGTGTAAGAGCTCTACTCTCAGGCTTTGGCATCCTCGTGAACAACGCTCCACTTGGCTGGGTTATATTTTCCATTTTGTTAGGGACAATTTTAGTTGCTCCAGGGGTGTTGCTGTCGTCAGTGGCTCCCTGATGCTGACTACTCCGTGGTCACCCAGTACCCAGACTATCTCCTGGTTGGTTATAGATGACCAAACAAATTTTAACAAGTGAAATACTTCACACACAGGCAAAACTCTGCCTTTGCAAAAATTATCAGAAATAGCTTTTAAAATACATATTTGCTGGTCACAATTGAGTCTTTTTTTTTTTGAACTTTCTAACATAATTTTCATCCAGTCTTGAGGATAAGCAAACACAATCCTCTCGGCCACTCTCAGAATTTTATTCCTATTCGGAAACAATTGCAAAGTTATTCAGTGCACATACCTGCAAGTGCAACTCTTGTGCATGACGTCAGCTCGGTGATACCCAGAGAGTTTGCAAAAACCGTCATTACTGTAAACTACAGGCCAGTCCACAATTTGGGCGTTTCCCAGTAAGAAACTTGATTCTGAAGAAGAGAGAGAGAGATTTACTTAGCTTTATTGAACAACTTTTGTCTTTCAAGTGATCCAAAAGACAGTTTGAAAAGATGAGCAAACGCAACGACGGTGTGCTCTGAGACAAACGATACACCTTGCGCCATAATCAACTAAGCATGAGGACCAATGAGAGCTGCAATAGCTACAAGCTTTATATAACGAACCAAAATCCCCTACAACGATGCACGGCACCTCTTAGCATTCAAGTGTCTTAGGAAAGAAGAAGATGCCTAGTAGTGAGTAGCAATGATTCAACGTGCAAATTTATTAACATGGGCTAGATTCACTTTCCTACAAATTCAGAATATTGATGTTGTAGCAGAGGCAAACTGAATACATCCTTCTAAAATATTCTACTAATGAAAATATGATTTGGTGGAACAAATTCCTTTTTGAAAAATCTAATCTAAAATAGCATTAAATAGTCTTCTCTGAAAATGAGATCATTCAAATCTATCACTTCGGCATGTGCCATAGCACCTAGAAAATGTATGTACTCTATATAAAAGACATTGCTGCTCTACTTTACATGAAAAAAAAGTTTGGTTTAGGCATAAAATTAGTTCAAAAAGAATGTATTTGAAAAAGTAACACTTTCAGGCCGCAACTTTAGCAATTTTAATAGTCTCATGACAAGAAAATGAAAAGAATAATTCAAATAATACTAACACAAATTTAAACTATTTTAAATAAATATCTTAAAAGAATAAAAAAGTAAAAGGAATATTCTACTTTAAAATCTACTATAAAATAATCTCCTTTAGACTCATCTTTGGGTAGAATCTAAAAATAAAAATAAATTATGAGTAGCAGGCTTGAAATCCTGATTCAGAAGTGGTTCTCCTAAAAATAACAATGCAATTCAGCATTTACTGAATAAGAGTTGCTCTAAAGGTGGGGCTGTAAATCAGATATTGGAATGTAGTAAAGGTTAGAAGAACATACGCCTGTTCTTCATATCAAATTTACTTATTAAGAACATAAATAACCAGCAATCAAAATGATCTAGTGGAGTCGATACTAAATCAAGCAGAGAAAGCTATATGAGAAATGTCTTCTGAGGGCAATAGTGAAAAAAGATAAAGCCTTTAGAAAACGGAGGTGCTTTCTTAAGTCTCCACCCTGAGAAGACTCCCAGGAGGGACAGTTGATAAGGTGGTGGACCTTAAACAGAAAGTCACGTAAAGCTAAGGAACCGGAAGTCAAAGATCCCATAACAAAAGCAAAAGTTATGCATCTTTCAGAAGAAAACCCAGGTGGGAATTCAGCAGTCTTGAGGACGACAAAAGTTTACCATATAAAGCGCACAGCAATCACCATAGAAGAAAGCGTTGATAAATTGACATGATGGTCGAGATGCAACTCAACTCCTCATCTAGGGACACTGTTAGGAAAATAAAATGGAAACTACCAGCCTGGGAGAAAAGATTTGTAAAACAAATATCTGAAGTCCAATCCAGAATTTACATGGAATTCGCCCAGAAGAGCAAGCAACCCAACTTAAAAACTAGGAAAATGATTTGAACAGACGTCTCAGAGTGTGCCACAGTCAATAGAACACATTCCCACTCACAAGACATGGAAAAGTACACACTAAGAGCGTAGTGACTCCCCACCACTCACCCACCAGGGTAGCTACAACCCAATACTAAATGCACTGGTGAGAACCTGGGACCACTGGACCTAGATGTAAATATAGAATATTAAGAAAACACAAGATGTCATGGCCACTTTGGAGCACAGTTTCTTGTCAAGTTAAATATTCATCTGTGACCCTGGAGGTTCACCCTACTTATTTACTGAAGTGCAATGAAAACATACTTGAACAAAAAAGGGCCATAAAATTTCACATCAGATTGACTCGTTGTAGTCAAACACCGGAAACAACGCAAATCAAGAGAATGGATGTTAAGTGGTGTCAAATCTGTACCAGGAACACCACTTTACTCTAAAATAGAACAAACTTCTGATACACGTCACAACGTGGGTTAACCTAAAATAATACTATGGGGGCAGGAAGAAGCCAAACATGTGATATCTAAATAGAGACAAAGCACAGTGGCGATAGGGAGCTATAGAATGGTTTCCTTTTCATTATGGTTGTGATGGCTGTTGAAGGTGATGGCTACGCTAACTGTCCGGGACAATGATTTCTGAAGGGAATGAGGGGACGACAGGAAAGAGGAGAGGAAAATCTATCTGGGGAGTATAAGTGTTCACTCTCTTGAAGTGAGATGCATGTATGTCCATTTGTCCAAATTCACTGATCCTGTACAGGTGAGCACATTTAGCTGCACGTAAGCTTAGAAAGCACAGGAGGACAATAGGTACTCTGTTCCCTTAAGAGCATATTTTAAAAAAAAACAATAAGCTGACATTTGAGTTAAGCCTTCGTTCTGAGAACAGTTAACAGTATAACCCTGGAGAGCCCAGCCAGCATGATGAGGAAGATTAGCTGGTATCTGCAAAGATGAGAAAGCATAAATTCCTCATTAAGTGCATGTGGTTTCATTTATCTATGGCATAGATTGTAATCATCAAACGAGATTTTCTTTCCACTCTTAGCCCAGGCTAGCTTACCCTCTCTAATTTGTAAGCTGTACACCAAATGACCAGAATCCATGGTGGGCCGTATGGCTGCCGAGCTACATCCTGCCTTAATTCATCCTGATTTTCAGCCTTATAGCCAAGCCAATGCCATCCCTCTTCATTCAGATCAGGAAGCTTAAATGCTTACACCATCAGATCACAAATCCATTTCCATACTTTACAAGCATCCCTCCCTCTAATATAAACACACTATTTCTTACCCCTAATGTCTACACGTTAGGCTTAGGTCAGTTTCTTTAGCAGTTCTCAAATATGCTCATTGATGATGCTCTACTCAAAATACTTTTCCCATATCCCTTTGCCTATCCAACCCTTAAGGATCACCTCAGCTCTGCTTTCTCTACAGCACATACACTGAGGACTGCTCACACCCATTCCCCAACTCACATACATCCCCCAACTCACACACATCCTCTACTTAGACGTGTTAAAAAAAAGCGGCCAAGCAATTTAAACACACAGAACAGAGAGAGAAAAAATGGTGCTAAGTTACCGGGGACTGAAGGGTAGAGGAGCTGAACGGATGTAGTCAAAGGACAGAAAATTATAGCTAGCGATTATAAGTTCAAGAGAGCTACAGTTTCCATGGCAACGAGAGTTATAGCAATATATTGTATACTTGAAAGTCACCAAGAGAGTAGACTTTATTCTCAACAATGAAAAAGACATGAGACGGAATACACACGTTAAGTAGCTTGATTTAGCTTTTCTACAGTACTCTTACATATGAAAGCATCCTATCATTTACCATAAACATATACCAAAAATTGTATACTTTTACTTGCCAATTTAAAAATAATGTTTCAAATTTTTGGATTATAATATGTTACTTATTGATTGAAAGGATTCCCGGTGTCCTGGGAACAATGGTACCAGGTGTTTTTAAAAAAGAGAGAAAAGTTGAAAATCAAAATGCTTGCTAACCTGGGCCTTTTCTTCCTCCCAGAAACTTCTTAGAATCCTATAGTTTTCAAGCTTTTTGTAAACCAGAGTTCATTATAAAGAAGCACACAAAGTGTGCACCCACACAAAAACAGAGCCCCCAAAGTTCCTTAAACAATACTATACACGTTCTGCACTGTTTTATAATCTGTTTCAATTTTGAAGTGTGTTAAAAATTCACTGGATCAATTCTATCCCCCTTCTGTTGCATCTTTTTTTTTTTTTAATTTATTTATTTATTAAGGATTTCTGCCTCGTCCCCACAACCGCTTCCCATTTCCCTCCCCCTCCCCCGATCAATTCCCCCTCCCTCATCTGCTCGAAGAGCAATCAGGGTTCCCTGACCTGTGGGAAGCCCAAGGACTGCCCACCTCTATCCAGGTCTCGTAAGGTGAGCATCCAAACTGCCTAGGCTCCCTCAAAGCCAGTACGTGCAGTAGGATCAAAAACCCACTGCAATTGTTCTTGAATTCTCAGTATTCCTCATTGTCCGCTATGTTCAGCTAGTCCGGATTTATCCCATGTTTTTTCAGACCTAGGCCAGCTGGCCTTGGTGAGATCCCAATAGAACATCCCCATTGTCTTAGTGTGTGGGTGCACCCCTCGTGGTCCTGAGTTCCTTGCTCGTGCTCCGTCTCCTTCTGCTCCTGATTTGGACCTTGAGATTTCTGTCCGGTGCTCCCGTGTGGGTCTCTGTCTCTGTCTCCTTTCATCGCCTGATGAAGGTTAATATTCCTGAGGATGCCTATGTGTTTGTCTTTGGATTCACCTTCTTATTTAGCTTCTCTAGGAACATGAATTATAAGCTCAATGTCCTTTATTTATGGCTAGAAACCAAATATGAGTGAGTACATCCCATGTTCCTCTTTTTGGGTCTGGCTTACCTCACTCAGGATAGTGTTTTCTATTTCCATCCATTTGTATGCAAAATTCAAGAAGTCCTTGTTTTTTACTGCTGAGTAATACTCTAATATGTATATATTCCATACTTTCTTCATCCATTCTTCCGTTGAAGGGCATCTAGGTTGTTTCCAGGTTCTGGCTATTACAAACAATGCTGCCATGAACATAGTTGAGCATATACTTTTGTTGTATGATAGGGCCTCTCTTGGGTATATTCCCAAGAGTGGTATTGCTGGATCCAGGGGTAGGTTGATCCCGAATTTCCTGAGAAACCGAAACACTGCTTTCCAGAGTGGTTGCACAAGTTTGCATTCCCACCAGCAATGGGTGAGTGTACCCCTTTCTCCACAACCTCTCCAGCAAAGGCTATCATTGGTGTTTTTTATCTTGTAGGTTTGAAAATGTCACCTTAAAGAACCCTCTGAAGGCTTTGCAGCCCTCCCTATATCACAAACAGTCTTGCTTTCCAAACATCTGCTAGGTTTAGAACCACAGCTCTGCCTGTTCCTTGTTG